CGTCAGAGACAACAACGGCAGCGAAAATGGTGTTCGTTACACAACACTCATCTACACGACGATTCGGAATGTTATGCTCAACAACAAGAGAGTCATGANTCCAGTCGCGGTCACGGAACAACAATAGGTTTAGAGCGGCGAACAACGGTAATCAGCAGCAATCAAGATCCAGACGGCCTGAACGGCAAGGCAGAAAGCGTTTTACGCCACAAGATCATCGTCAGAGACAACAACGGCAGCGAAAATGGTGTTCGTTACACAACACTCATCTACACGACGATTCGGAATGTTATGCTCAACAACAAGAGAGTCATGAGACACGAACTACAGCGACGGGACGCGGCGGACCGATCGTAGATGGATCACACGGAACAAGACAGGCCAACAATGTTCGTCAGCATATCCAAGACAGGGGCGCTACTTACACCTTCAATCCAAGACTGGACAACAATGACCATCGGACTGTCAGCAGAGCAACCACTGCTCAAGAGTTCACGAGGGGGTCTACGCCCAACAGGAGTGTCCGAACTATACGTCACAACCTACTGAAGAGACAGTGGTTGAAGGTTACAATGGGAGCCTTGGATACCCATGCGTTTCTCGCATGAAGATGCTAGCGCAACAAACTGCTTTACGGAATATAATGTAGGAAAATTTAATTTGCTGGTGGATAGTGGAGCATCGGGCCACTACCTGGACGGCGATTTGCTACCTGATCTGGACTACATATTGGGAAACTTCGAGTACATCTTTACACCCATGAAGATTATTGGTGCTGGAGGAGTTTAGCTTGAAGGGACCAGAACGGGCATCATCAGCGTATTCGCCAAGGATGAAGATGGAAACGACAGGAGAGTGCGGTTCAAGTGCACAGTGGTTCCAGGATTAGGACGGCACCTGTTTTCTACCGGAACAGCACAGAAGAAAGGTGCGAACACGATTATGTCGGATCAGCCGCGAATCGAGTTACCGACTACTTCAGGAGATGGATCGAGAATCGCCCTAGTGTTACGAGAAGTGGGGACTTTATATTTTCTGGATGTGCGACTTGACACGAGTCATCGCGACAACAGACCCCCGATCAACGAGGAGGCTAAAAATACTTACGAGAGGCATGTGTGGCTGCTGCACGCGCGGAGCCCTACAACCTTTGGCACCGGCGTTTGGGACATTGCCACAAGAACATCATGGAGGCAGCTGCGCGTATCGAAGAAACTGGAGTAAAGCTCAAGGACAAAATGGCACCGTGCGAAACTTGTATAATTCAGAAGAGTACCCAAAAGAAACACCCTAAAACGGCACAGCATACTGCTGTTCAGCCTTGTCAGCGGGTGTATACGGATCTTCTGGGGCCAATTTCGCCACCTGCAAAGGGCGGATACAACTATGTGAGCAAATTCACGGACGAATATTCAAGGATGAATATTGTGTATTTGATACGGTCCAAAGACGAGGCTATCAACACACTGGATAGATTTATCCAAGACATCGTCATACCGAATGGTTTTCGGCTGGAGCGACTCCGCAGCGATAATGGAGGTGAATACACATCAGAGTACTACAGGGACTTCTGCAAAACCATCGGAATTGTTCAAGAATTTACGGCACCGGCTACACCACAACAAAATGGCATCAGTGAACGTGCTGGACGAACGCTCATGAACATCGTTAGATGTTTGATGCACGGAGGAAAACTGCCGGAGTTTTTATGGGGCGAGCTATGTTGCACGACGGTACACATCACGAACCGGCTACCGCATGTGCATCTCAACAATGAGACGCCCTACTACCGGATGTTCGGGAAACAAGCTTCGCTTCGACATCTGCGGGTCATCGGCTCAACGGCGTTTGTGCACCTGGAGACGTACAAGTCTAAGCTCGCGAATCGTGCTTGGCCGGGGATCCTGATAGGGTATAGCCCCGACAGCCGAGCATATCGGGTTTTCAATCCGCGCACAAAGCGGATAGTGCACAGCCGGAATGTTACATTCATCGAACCGATGGATGCGGCCATGCCGCCGGTTATTCCAACACCGGCGGAATTGCGCAACGACACGGAAAACGAATTATCTGTTTCCTCGGATGTCGTATACATACCGGGAAACGAGGGGGAAATGGATGATTCGCAACATGAGGATTTTGAACAAGTACAAGACCAAGAACAAGACCAAGAACAAGACCAAGACCAAGACCAAGACCAAGACCAAGACCAAGACCAAGAACAAGAACAACAACAAGAACAACAACAAGAACAACAACAAGAACAACAACAACAACAAGAACAACAACAAGAACAAGAACAACAACAAGAAACAACCCGCATGAATCTGCGAAGTGCTGGAAGGAGCATGGATCATCAACTCGAGAGAAACAACAAAAGACAACAAGCCGAGTTAAGAAGGTTATCGCCTTGGAACAGACTGGCTAACTTTGTGAATCAAGATCATCAGAATCAAGACCAATACATAAGGATCAAGACGCCATCAGCTGGAGAACCTGTACGGCCGCCAGCATGTATACCTATACCAACTACATATCAAGAAGCCATGAGGTCAATGGACGCTGATCAATGGAAAGCAGCTATGGACAAGGAAATAAGGAGCCTAAAAGATCATGATGTGGCGGATCTAGTCCCAGTTCAGAGGCTACCCCCTGGAGCTAAGCCTATTGGATCAAGATGGTTGTACAAGATGAAAGCAACTGGAGTAATGAAGGCAAGACTCATCGTACAAGGCTGGGGACAACGACATGGCATCGACTGTGGAGGAACTTATGGACCTGTGAGTCGATTCAGTTCGCAACTAGTATTTATGGCGATTGCAGCGGAGAGAGGATACGATGTGGAAACCATGGACGTGGTAACTGCATTTCTTCAAAGCAAAGTGGAAGAAGAAGTGTACGTTCGTCAAGCCAAAGGATACGAAATAACGGATGAAGTTACGGGACTACCACTGGTGATGAAGCTCAAGAAAAGCTTATACGGACTGAAGCAAAGCCCTCGGAACTTCGGCAACGCATTTGCTAAAGGGATTAAAGAAATCGGGTCTACTGCTCTACTGAGTGACCCGTGCGTATATGTGTACGGAGCTGGACCGACATGTGCGATACTATGTGTGTACGTGGACGACTGCACACTAGCCGGAAGGACACCAAGTGTTGCTTGAAGAAGCAATTATCGGACAAGTTCAAGATGACCGATGGAGGACCGGCGGAACTACTACTAGGGATGGAGATTTCTCAACGTGACGGAGAAATCACTGTGAGCCAACACAAATATGTGATGAATATTCTGGACAAGTACCAGATGGTGGATTGCAAACCAGCAGCAACTCCAGGGAGCGGACCGGAAATCGAACAAGAGCCGGAGAACGCTATATATTTAAGCAAAGAGGACAAGAAACTCTACCAAGGAATTGTTGGAAGTCTTCTCTTCCTGACTAACACAACGAGATGGGAGATTGGGTATGCAGTGATGATCCTGTGCAGAGGGATGAACAAGCCTACTAATCTATNAAGCCTACTAATCTACACATGGTCGGAGCGAAGAGAGTGCTGAGATACCTTCGAGGATGTCCGGATATGCCATTGAAGTTCAGGAGAGGACAATGGGACCTGAAGTGCTACTGTGACGCGAGCTTCGCTGGATCGAGCGAGAGACTTCAGAAGCGTTCCTCTACTGGATACATCTTCATACTGGCGGGAGGCGTCATCAGTGCAGCATCAATACTGCAGAAGCTAACAGCTCAGTCAAGCATACATGCGGAGATCATTGCAATGGCTACAGCAGCTAGGGAAGCCATCTATCTGCAAGGTGTACTNTTCAACCCATGCTTGAAGTTGGTGCATTTAGAAGAGTATTTGAGCAAGGAGTTTGTGGATGCAATGGAACAAGAAGAAGCACGTGTAGCTAGAGATCTCGTGAGAAAGCTGGATATAACTCAGGAGACCAATCTCACCGCATTGGTGAACAATCTACCTGAGAGACACATAGGATCGGTACTGTACACTGGACCACGGTTTGGAACTATTGAGAAAATTTGGGTAGAACGCATGGTTAAGACAGGAGGTCAAATACCTGAATACCTAACTATTNGTTCAACCCATGCTTGAAGTTGGTGCATTTAGAAGAGTATTTGAGCAAGGAGTTTGTGGATGCAATGGAACAAGAAGAAGCACGTGTAGCTAGAGATCTCGTGAGAAAGCTGGATATAACTCAGGAGACCAATCTCACCGCATTGGTGAACAATCTACCTGAGAGACACATAGGATCGGTACTGTACACTGGACCACGGTTTGGAACTATTCAGAAATTTGGGTAGAAGGCATGGTTGAGACAGGAGGTCAAATACCTGAATATCTAACTATACGGGCTATTCATGAATCACTGCTGGATAGGTGCAAACGGGAAGGTGCTTACTACAATCATCGCATTGTGATCAAAGAAGTAAGAAGTAACGTAAAACCGGAGATCGACTGCCTGATGCAAGATTTGAGTGAACGTGGCAGAGAAAGTATCGAGGACACTATGATTGCTATCGAACAAGAGTCGAAAGAAAATTCGAAAAGAGCGTGCGAGAATGTGGTCGAAGATAATCTTGGCAAACTACAATCAAGCGTGATCAGTGTGGTGAAGAACAACAAATCGTTTCAGAACCACATAATCAAACGTGTTATGCTCAGATTGAAGAAGATAGGGATGGATTAAGAGTAGTAACTTATGGACGATTATTTTTGAGCAGGATAGCAACTAAGCAGGCAGTTGTTGAAGCACGAGTAACGCGCGTACCGTTATACGATTTATGGGGGCGTGTATAATGCAGGAGTACATGAGGATATGTACGTAAAACTTATTCTACTTGCAGGATTCGTGCAGTAGATTTAGAACAACGATGAGGTTGTTGAAGCATACGTGACATTGCGTCCATCATGGGGGCGTGTTGAAATACAGCGCATTACTGCTGTAGGATGTGTGTAGTAGCATAGATGCAGCTGTATGATTGCTGTACGCAATGGTACGTAGATGCGGTATAATAAGTGACGTTTGGTAGAACGTAACATGTAGCGACGAGTTATGACGAGGAGCTCGTTGATGATATGAGAATGAATTGTAGCGAGATCACGAGGTGTTGCGAGCCCCACCGGGCTTACTCCCCAACTATCCCTCAACATCTCAACTCTGCAAGTAAGCTGAAGAAGAAGAAAGAAAGTACAAGTCCCAGAAGCGGCATTTAGCAACAACATCAGACTTCGGTCTTCGCCTCAACAGACTTCGGTCTGAACAGACTTCGGTCTGCATCACACAGACTCTGTCTGTGCTGCACAAAGGCTTAACCGCCTGCAGACGACCCTTGGGTACAGGGCGTCTCGACACTACACATTTCTACAGGAGCGTGATCGTCGATGTTGTGTCGGAGTCGGAGTCTGAGAGTGGTCTGTCCGACGAGCTGAACGGGGAGGATGACGATGAGATGTGATAAAGAATCCGCGATGGATGAAGGCAGATGTATTTGGAATCAACACGAAAAAAAAAACGTCGTTTGAAACAACGCAACACCACCCAAAAGGCACTGCACCCGCTCTCGACCTTTCCTCCCCTGCACGAGGTCGAAGAGGTATTGCGCAGCACGTGTATAAGCCAGAGCTACTGATGGCGCAGTAACGATGGAAAGAGCTGCAGTACCGCCGGCGGTACAGCCTTTGCGCCGTGACACAAATGTAGGCGATGACGAAAGAAACGCCGAACGAAGTTGATGAATGATGGCAGATATAATTTGTTATTCAACACGAAAAAATAAGTTGATTTGACACAACACAACATCAAAAAGAAACTGCCCACGCTTGCAACCTTTCCTCGCCTGCCGGAGGCCGAAGAGGTACTGCGCAGCAAGTACGTAAGCCAGAGCTACTGATGGCGCAGCAACGACAGAAAGAGCTATAGTAGCGCCGGCGGTACTACAACCTTTGTGCCGTGGCACAAACATCATTTCACCGAAAAAATGCAGCAGCAGCAGCAGCAGCAACAACAACTCTCGCACATCATCCCAGCCACCGCGCTCGCTTTGCCTCCGCCCGCGCCCACGATCCTAAGACGACTGCCTAACACCCCGCCCCCTATCAGCTTGTGCTACTACCTGGCGTAGCTCTCGCTGCCTGCTTGCTTCAACTTTTTCTGCTGCTGCTACTTCTTTTTCTTCTGTACTCTCTCCGCCTTTCTCTTTGCCGCGTTCGCCTTGTTCTTTTGTACGCGGGCGGCGTCAGCTTTCGCCGTTGCGGCGTCGCGGCTCCGTGTCAACTCCTTGACGTCTGCCCTCCTCACCAGCCCGTCGAACCTTGCTTGCGACGCCCTGGCCTCCATCGTCACACCATGTTATTCGACACATATCTCGTTTTGTCTCGAGAACTTTTGCTTTCGTTTTTTCCTCGAGTCCGGCGATTTTTTCTTCCCAGACGTACCCATGAGTACCCGATGAGTACCCGATCTAGGGATTCGTTTTGCGCGACGATGACGCAGTGGGTTCTAGCGTGGCTTTTTGCGTCACTTTGCTGAGAAGGAGAGCTACAATTTAATCGGTGGCGATTTGCGTTGAAGTAGCTCACGTCAGTGGCAGCAGGCGAAAAGGGCCGAAAATCACTTGTTTTAAGAGTGTTCGATGGGTTAGAACCCGCCGATTGAAAAACTGGCCGATGAATCCATAGATATGTCCTGTTCACGGGTGTGTACTGAACCGCAAGAGCCAGCTCATNTGTTGTTGTTGTTGTTGACTTCACATTAAACCGTATGCCAGTTGCTAAATGCCAAAATCTAGCAAAGACTCTCGGCCCGTGGTCACGAAAGTGCTGGAGCCATCTGAGGATCTAAAGTACACGCACACATATAACGAGAAAAAGGTATCCAAGCTTGATCTAGAGCCCGAACAGGTACACCTAAAAATCCCTGCAGCACCGTGTGCATGCCCAAAAACTGAACTGCACGTCCGTCCCACCGTTCGACTACAGTAGCATCACCCCCTCCCTGTCCCACTCTATACCAAAACGGAAGATTGCCGACTACAGCATAATGCTGTCTGAAGTGCTGTCTGTACAAAAACACCATGGTAGGCATGGAACAAGCAGCTGGCGGGGCACAAAGCTGCTGTCTGAAGTGCTGTCAGAATGTGTGCGGCCGTACAGTGAAAAAGAACAAGCAACCAAAACCATCATAGCAGCAATTGACAATCAATCACCCGAATCTCTCCCGATCGTTTGTGTAGGCACTGCAGTGAAAAATATCGACACTAAACTAGCTAAGAATCGTTCCACATTGAAGGGGTCTTCCACGATCAGGCACATAACCAAGGCACCCGGGTTAGCCACGCCATCTCTGACGGTTCTCTCTACAAAACCGGTGACGATGTCATTGCACAAAACCAACACGGAAAGTCAGAAAAAAAACGAAAAAAAATGAGANCCCGTCCACCTTTGTGGCATCGAGTATTTCGCGTTCTTCTCTGGCTCTTTAATATCAAGTCAAAACAAGATTTGGCGCCGGCGACCTGAAAAGCGGAAAAACTTTATTATTGTGGTTTTTCGACCAACAGCCCGACCACGCGCATACACCAAAAAGGGGGGTCAGGCGCAGGGCTAACCCAGTCCCGTAGACTATTGAGACCGAATTGGCGACAAAAAAGAAAACCCGCACGCATGCATCACGCACGTGTACCCAGCTACTATCTCACGTAGGCAAANCAGCTCCCTCTAGCAAACCTAGGGCCGTGTAGTGCCCGTCCACCTTTGTGGCATCGAGTATTTCGCGTTCTTCTCTGGCTCTTTAATATCAAGTCAAAACAAGATTTGGCGCCGGCGACCTGAAAAGCGGAAAAACTTTATTATTGTGGTTTTTCGACCAACAGCCCGACCACGCGCATACACCAAAAAGGGGGGTCAGGCGCAGGGCTAACCCAGTCCCGTAGACTATTGAGACCGAATTGGCGACAAAAAAGAAAACCCGCACGCATGCATCACGCACGTG